CCCAGAATCCTTGCCTCCAAGGAGTAGCTTGGTTTAATCCTCTCCAAGATAAATCTGTTTGTTTTCCTGGCAGTCCATGGTACATTCAGCACCCTTCTCCAGCACCACAGCTCAAAAGTATCCACTCTCCTTCTGTCCTCCCTAGTCATTGTCCAACAGCTCAATTAATATTCCACAAACTAAATTCCTGTCATTAAATTCCTTCGCCATATGGAAAATAATTAGACTCTATTCCTAAAGACCCCTCTCATATTACTCTGTAACAAAATTATGTTGGACAGTATTTTATTCATTCTATAAGTTATAGCTTACCTATGTGTTTCAGCTTCTTTTTCTTTCCTCATTTGTGCAAGACGCTTTTTTGCTTTGATAAAATTCCTGATCTTGTCATCTTCATCTATCTGCTGCTGTTGTTCTACAGTTTTGAGAATATTTTGATCATTCACATATTCCTGGGGGTAGAGCAAGATATGTGTTTTATCCTCTCAGGAAGAAAAATACATTTCAATATATCCCTGTCCAACAAGAATCTGCTTCTGACCCACTTATTTCTCTCCTGGAAATTTATTCCAAATGATCAGATGTCCAAAAAAGTTTGTGCAGCAATATACTTAATCTCTAAGTTATTTATAATAGCCAAAACTGGAAACAACCTCTAAATTTTAAGCAATAGAGAGATAGTGAAATAAAATCCTCCATGACATGGGAAGATCCAAACAATATAATTAGTAATTGAGAGGAAAAGAATAGAAAATATTACATACTATACATATACATGTATAAAACATATAATACCTGAAGATGCCTGTAGTTATATTTGAATTCAATGTCTATTTGGGAAATGGCTACATTACTTCCTTTCTTATTGGACTTCTTATTTATATATCTTTGTTTTCATCATTCCAAGTGTGCAGTTTTGGGGGTAAAGGTATATTTGGCATTTAATTAGAGACATTTTCACAACAGCACCTTGAGGGATGATTTTGGCTGCTATAGGTAATGTGATTCCAAGTCACAGTGACACTTTGTGACACAGTACAACTGCCACAAACAATATTCTAATTTTGACACAGCAGATGCAACTTTGAGTGGGCTCAAATAGTGATGGTCATGAGGATGGTAAAGGACCAGGTAGTGTTTTATTCTATTCTACACAGGGAGCCAAATGGACAACTCACAAATACAATCTTTGTAGATCAGATTGCTGGTAATTTTTCTCCAAGAGCCATTGGATATGTCTGAACCATAAACCTTTCAATTGCAGCCAAGCACGTAACCACTGCACCACCACCGTTCATTATGCAAATAGGTTATTGTTATGTACCATCAAACTGAAATGGACTCACAGCTGACCCCCCAGCAGGTTTTCAGAGGCTGTAAATCTCACAGGAGGGGTTACCTATCTTCTCTTTTGGAGCAGCTAGTGGATTTGAACTGCGTGTCTTTGGGTTGGCAATGCAATTCCTTAAGCCACCAGAGCTCCCTCTATCCAAATAAATATTTCCTTAAAATGCTTTGAAACTCAACCTTAAAACATCTTGATTTCTGCTCTATTAATTTCTATTTTTTTTAAAAAAACTTGACAGTTAGATTTTTTTTTTTACTTTCCACATTTTTTGCAGAGATATTGTGTTTTCAACTTACCAAAAACAATCTCCTGTTTTTGAGCATCTCTGCCTTTTTCTTCTCTAGTTTTTTTCTCCTTTCTATTTCATATAATGAATTTTGTCGCTGAATCTCCTCAGCATCCCTTTCTTCTTCTTTTCTCTTTCTTTCTCTTTCTTCTTCATGTTCTTTTATTCTAATGCAAAAACAATTAAAATTGAGCAAAGCATAAAATTAGTTTACATTTTAAAGAAATTAATTAGATACTGACCTAGGGTGACTGGAAACTGCAACTGAAAATTTTTTCATTTCATCAGAGAAAAGAAAATTTAAGAGCAGTCTAATTTTGGGTAACCCAGAATTGTCAATACTTTATTTGTTTCATTACTCATCAAGATAAGTTATTCACCAGATATGAATGTTCTCTGGAACAGAACACTGCCTAATTCTTTGGGAAGAACTATTAGAAAAGATATCATTAGAAAAGAAACCATTGTCAATGATTTCATCCTCACCCAGTACCCCTAGTACCAGCAGTCAGGAAATTAGGAGATGTATTGCATTGGGAAAGTTTGCTGACCTCTCCAGAGTACTTAGGAACAATGATGTCAGTTTAAAGACTCAAGTTCATCTGATTTAAGCCACAGTCTTTTTTTTTAAGCCACGGTCTTTTTGGTCATCGTATTTTCAATCACTTGTTATGTATCTCAGAGCTGGACAATGGATAAGGAAGATAAAAGAAGAATTGATGCCTTTGAGTTGTGCTGTTGGAAAAATGTGCTGAATATCTCATGGACTTCCCAAAGACCAAGCAGATATGTCTTGGAGAAAGCATGGCCAGAGTGCTCCTTGGAGACAAGCATCGTAAAGTTTCACCTCTCATGCTTCGAGCATGTTTTTAGACTAGGTTATTTCTTGGAAAAGGACACAATACTTGGAAAGGTGAAGGACAGTGAAAGAGAAGAAAACCCTCAATGAGATGGATTGATACAGTGACAGCAGCAATGGGCTTGAGGATGTCAAAGATGATGAAGATGGCCAGGGTTCAGATACATTGTTCACAGAGAGGGTCACCATGAGTTATACACAACTTGACGACACCTAACAACATCACCGTTAAACTTCAGTGAAGGAGGAGGAACATCAAAGAATATGTGTATACATTTTAAACCAGTACAAAGGAATACCTGAATAGCAATTGGTATTATAATTAATAGAGTACAGCAAGAAAGTTTGCCTGTTGGTGTCATGTAATTTCCATTTTAATTGTAAGTTGAGTAACAGTTTACAACTATCAAATTGATTCCAACTTGTTGTAGCAACCCTCCTACAGTGATCAGAGGCTGTAACTGTTTAAGGAGAGGGAAGACATCATACATCTTTTCCACATGGAACTTATGAGAGATTCAAACTACCGTGAACACATGGCCTTTGGTTAACAGTGAAACTGGCTGTGTGAACTGTGTCACCAACATTCCCTGAAAGTTTACAAAGCAAACTGGTTTTGCATGCACTATTAACTCACATTTTGTTTTAGAACATTAATTCCCATGCTCACAGTGTAACTTCACCCTTCCTACTCCTCTGTGAAGTCACTCTAAGTTTCATATGTCTCTAAAACATGTGGCCTACAAGAAACATCATGATCTGCCCTTAGTCTTCCTCTCCTAGAACATCATAGACACTTCCTCCCTATAGACATCTTGACTCCTTGCAATCCTCCCCAAACCTAGCATGTTTATCTCACCTCTGGGTCTTCACTCAGTCAATGTCAATTCCTCTGATTAGATATTACTCCATTTCATCTTTGCATGGCTTACACCTAATCGTTCTTTTTCCCCCCTTTAAAAACCAGTTTATTTTTACCTAAAGATGTTCATGAAAGTTTTAAACGTCAAAAGGATCAAAACCATCAAAGTTTAAAAAAGTAGGTCCTGCCTGTGCCTCCATTATTTCAGCTTCCACTTCATTATGGCCAGCATTGTGTGTATGAGTTACTTCCAGATTGAAACAATTGAAACTTTCAGTGTTCATAAAAGCCTATCATGTTGTTAATGATAAAAATAACATTTCCGGTTCTAACAACAGTGTCACTGCAATGCATAATGTTTTAGAATTATGACTCAAAGCCACCTAAATCAATCCAGAAATCCACGTTATAAATCCAGTTAATAAAAAGCAAAGAAAATCCCAGAACATTTAATTGTGCTAATGCAAAACCTACACTTGGACCAAGAGGCAGTAGTCAGAACAGAGCAGGGTAACACTACATGGTTCAAAATTGGGAAGGGTGTACCCCAGGGATGCATCCTGTCTCCATACCTTTTCAACATGTATGCAGAACAGATTATCCGGGAGGCTGGGCTCTATGAGGAGAAATGTGGGGTCAAGATTGGTAGACGATTTATCAACAATCTGCGTTATGCAGATGACACAAGCCTGCTTGCTGAAACTGAAGAGGACCTGAAGCACCTGCTGCAGAGGGTCAAGGACTGCAGCCTCCAATGTGGATTGATGCTCAATGTCAAGAAGACAAAGATTCTCACCACTGGACCAATTGGCAGCGTCAGGATGGATGGCAAAGAGATTGAGATTGTTCACAGCTTCAGTTTGCTCGGCTCCACAGTCAACACTCTTGGCACCAGCAGTCAGGAAATCAAAAAGCGTATTGCGATGGGAAAGTCTGCTGTTAGGGACCTCTCTAAAGTACTCAGGAGCAACGGTGTCTCTCTGGAGACTAAGGTATGCCTGATACAGGCCATGGTATTTGCAATCGCTTGTTATGCATCAGAGAGTTGGACAATGACTAGGGAGGACAGGAGAGTGGATGCTTTTGAGCTGTGGTGCTGGAGAAGAGTACTGAATGTACCATGGACTGCCAGGAAAACAAACAGATTCATCTTGGAGAGGATTAAACCAAGCTACTCCTTGGAGGCAAGGATTCTGGGGCTTCATCTGACATACTTTGGACATGTTGCCAGGAGGGACGGGTTCTTGGAGAGGGACATCATGCTTGGGAGGGTGGAGGGACAGCGCAGGAGGGGAAGACCCTCTATGAGATGGATTGATTCAGTGACTGGGGTAATCGGGATGGGTGTGTCAGGGGCAGTGTGGTTGGCGCAGGATAGAGCAGGGTTTAGGGCTGTTGTGCATAGGGTCGCTATGAGTCGCAAACGACTCGCCGGGACATAACAACAACAACAACAATGAGTTTGTGTGGCACCCTTGCACAGGGATTGTGCTAATCTCCTCTTCATCATTCCATTTTTTTATATATGTGCTGCTGAAGCGAGCATCTAATCTTTCTTCATAATTAAGGACAGCCACCACTATCTTTCTGAAAAGCCTTCTAACCATCCAAGACTAGGTGCCATTCTATATGCTTTCAAAACAAATGAACATTTACTTATAAAAGCGTGTTCTGCCTCACTATAAATCAAGAGAAACATAAATTAAAATATATTCTCTTAAAATTTCATTAATTTTAAAAAAACTTATCCAGAATTTTAGGGAGCTCAGGTGGCCCAGTGGCAAGAAACTGCACTGCAATCCCAGAGGTGTGCAGGTTGAATCTACCAGATGCTCTGCTGGAGAAGGAGGGACAATCTCCTCCTATACCAGTCAGATCTGCGCGCGCACACACACACACACACACACACACACACACACACACACACACACTCACTTATCCAGAATTCCTTACGACATAAGGAAAAAGGAATTCAACGACATTCTAGGTTTAGACATATGTTTGCAAGTTTAGGTTCACTCCAGTGCAGCTTTGACAATAGCACAGAAAGTTCTGTCCAGCCCTTCACCTAGAATCTGAATAGCATGGTGCAGCCCAGAGCCCCACCCACAGGAAGGACCCAACCCCAGGAGACTTGCAGCATGATGATCTACCCAGCAGAGCCATGTCCAGATGGATCAGCACCAGTCAACTCACAGATGCATAGAAAATGCTTTTTGTATGCCACTGGGTTGTGACGTTTTTCTAAGGGCTATATTATGGCAACAGTAACCAATATAAGGCTTTGAAAAGGATTTTTTTTTAAAAAAGGGGGGAGCTTTTTCTCCCTAATATTTTTATTGGTTTGCATACAATAATTCATATCTACATTATGCCTCATTCATGTGATTTTTTTTGTGTGTGTGTGTGTGTGTACCGTCAAATCAGATCTGACTGGTACAGGAGGAGATTGTCCCTCCTTCCCCGGCAGAGCATTTGGTGGATTTGAACCGTGCACCTCTGGGATTGTAGTTGCAGCTCCTTACCACTAGGCCATCAGAGCTTCCCTTCATGTGATTTTTTTAAAACGTCTTTGTAATTTTTTCCCTACTAATTAGAAATTGAAACAAGTATTATTTTTTTCTTTTTAGCAAGTATTATTTTTGTAAACAGGAGAGAAAGAGCTGCATTTATTTCGAAAAAAGAGAAGGCCCCCAAAAAGGTCATTTATATATACATACTGCTTAAGCAGGTCATTGGCAAGAGCGACTCTCTGTCTTTGGCGTTTTTCTGCTTCCTCTTGTTCTTTTTTAAAAGCCTTTTCAATATTAAGCTTATTTTGTTCCTCCCATTTTTTATCTGATCTTGTTTTATTCTTTTGATATTCAATCTGGGCATCACGTTCTTTCATAGTTCTACTAAGAAGAAGTCCTGACTTAAAAAAAGAAAAGAACACTTAGAAAAAGTAAAGCTGAATGGAGTATTGTTATGTTAAATATATATATATATATAAATACAAAATTCAAGTAGTACATGAAAGTTTTTCACTCTCTGTGTTTGATAAAACTGATACTGCCTTGCATTTTCAATGGCTTTTTTTCTTTCTCCTTGTTTATATATTGCTTCTTCAATATCAAGTGTTTGTCTTTCTGCCTCTATTTCTGCATCATGCTTCTTTTTTGCTTTGAGTTTCTGTTCCTTCAAGCCCTGTAAAAAATAACAAAGCAATTTTGTGTTTTCATTTTCCAATTCAATGTTACCGAAGTGAAATATCAATATGATGTTCTATTTGAATTTGCATAAGCCATTAATTTAAAAGAATGAGGTTATATTTTAAGCTAACTTCAAAATTGAATTTGTTGGTTTGGCAATACAATGACACAGTTCAAAATCCTAAAATGTTATAGAGGTATACAGTAAAATCTCTTCCTGTAGCCCCTAAATTACATATACAAATTCCTCTCACTCCATTATAACCATTCTGATTATTTCCTAGTTAAATTATAAATATATATACACACACATGCGTATTTCTGCTCCTTTAAAAATTAACAGTAGTATATTTTATATGTTCCTCATTACTTCTCTTACGACTCTACTCAATACCTCACTGCCTCACAGTGGGGTATTTCCATACTTTCTTCTCCTTTATGGGTCATTCTTTATCTTGGGAAATCTCTGCTTACTCTGATAATCCTTAAGATATTCTTGTATGATTTATTTCTTCTGTCCATTTGTATGCCTATACTTTATTCTCTTATACTTCAGTGAAAGGTTTAGAAATTATTTTGGTTTTTGTGAGGTCAAGTGAGGACAAAGCTGGATGTGACTCCTTGGGGTAGTGAGGAACACCTCATGTAACACCCCTGAGGAAAACAAGGAATGCCTTGTAGGCACAGATGGCTGCCCTTTCCATGAACTGTATGTGGCTCTCCTTTTCAGGAAGCATAAATAATGATACAAGATGCTCCAGCATGTTATGAGAACTCTACCAGTATTTAGCCATCTGGTATGGCTTTGGTGCTTTGTTTAGTGTTGCAAGTGCTTCTGAGATTGAGAAGACCATAAGAGCATATTGGAAATAATAAAGTAGGTTCTTCTCTCCTGAGAAGCAACCCCCTACTTGCCAAGGTTTAGCTCTTTCTCACTTCGTGACTCCACTCACAGTTTTCCATACAATCATTCACAGATTTACTGTTTTATAACATCAGTACAACTGATGACTGTAACTAATTACAATGTACAACCAAGCTCTGGTTCCATAGATTGTAATGAGTTTCACTGCTACCCAAAGGTTTAAATCCACCAGCAGCTCCAAGGGATAAAAATGGGTAATCTCCTCTCATGTGATTTACAGCCTCTGAAGACCCACTGCATGGTCGGTTCCCACTTTACTGCATTTTTTTAGTAAACAATCCCAATATTGTATATTGCCTTTTAACAAGATTATCTTTTTATTAATTTTTACACTCCATGTTGTTGGTGGTGTCAGACGCTGTAAAGTGGATGACTCATAGTGACCCTACGTACAATGGATCTGAACCTTGCCCAATCCTGTGCCATCCTCATCATCTCTGATATACTTGAGCCCACTGTTACAGTCACTATGTCAATTCATCTCATTAAGAGTCTTCTTCTCTTTCATTGACCCTCCATCTTTCCGAGCAGATGTCCTTTTCCAAGGATCAGCCCCTCCTAACAACATATCAAAAATATGTAAACAAAACTTCACCTCCACAGAGAATTGTGGTTGCATTTTCTCCAAGACATGTTTGTTTGTTCTTTTGGCAGTTCATGGGATATTCAGTACTCTTCTCCAGCACACCCACACAAAGGCATCAATGATTCTTCCATAATCCCGAATCTTCATCCAACTTTTAGATGTCTAACAAATAACTGAAAAGACCACAGCTTAAATCAGATGCTCTTTAATCTTTAAGGTTACAGCACTGCTCCTTAACACTTTGGAAAGGTCCTTGACAGTAGAGTTTCCTAATACAATTATTTAATTTGAGTTTTCAACTGCTGGTGCAAAGGTTTTAGATCCAAGCAAGATGAAATAGCTGACTAAGTCAATCTTTTCTCCCTCTACCATCATGTTGCCTATTGGTATGGGTGAGAATTTTTGTCTTCCTGATGTTGAGATGTAATCCATCTTGGAGGTTGTAGTCTTTGGTCTTCTGCGACAAGTTCTCTTCACTTTGAGTAAGCAAAGTTGTGTCATCTGCATAACTCAGTGACCCAGTATCACTTATTATATAAAGTTATGTTTTTATAAATTTTGTGTTTTGTGGCATCATCTTTTTTAAAAATGTACACAAATATGTCCTCTAGTTTTCTAGGTCGTATAGCCCTGGTGTGTCCACTTGCTATATAGAGGTAACTTGTGGTTGCTCTGAAGCTGAACATTGTGACATTTATGTGTCAAATGTGATAATTTATGTGTCATGGTAGACAGTGTTTGGTGGTGCTCCCCACTTGAAACAAGCTTGGAAGCAGGAGTGGCATCCACTTTCGTAAATAGCTTGTCTCCGGAAACCCTAGGACTTTTGTACATAGGGTTGCTATAAGTCGCCTATGACTTGATGGCACTTAACAACAACACTAACACTACAAATATGGATCTCTTTCAGTCAGTTGGCTGGATAGTTGTCTTCTAAACTTGCTGGCACATGCTAGTAAGTCCATCCAGGGCTCTATCTGTTTGTTGAAAGATTGCATTTGTTAGGTGCCATCAAGACTCATAGAGACATTATGAGTAAGAGATTTTAACCCTGTGCCATAATATTATCTTGTGCAATCTTCACAATCTTTGATGTAAACAAGCCCATTGCTGAAGTCACTCTATGTATCAACTCATCTGACTAACAGTCTTTCTTTTGCCAGTTCTCCACATTTCCAATCATGATGTCCCTTTCTCCCTCTCTTTTCCCCCAGCCCCCAGCAGTTGGTGATGTCCCTTTCTAAGGATGAGCATCACTTAGCAACAAGCCCAAAGTATGTGAGGCAAGGCGTTGTTATTTTTGCTTCCAAAGAGCACTCTGGCTGCACTTTCATCAAGACATGTCTGTTTTATTATTTTGGCAAATAATAAGATATTCAGTACTCTTCTCCAAAACCACAGCTAAAAGGGACCAGTTGTTTTTCTGTTATCCTTATTTGTTGTCCAGCTCTCAGATGCATAACAAGTGACTGAAAAGACTATGGCCTGAATCAGATGAACCCAACATGATTGTTCCTCAGTAGGTCCTTGACATTTCCTGATCTCCTGACCGCTGGTACCAATGGTGTTGGTTGTGGATCTAAGTAAGATGGAGTTGTTGACAGTTTATTTCAAAGGGCAGCTTAGGAAGACAAGGCAAAGTATTATAATGAAATGTGCAAGGAGCTGGAATCAGAAAATGAAAAGGGCCAAACTCGCTCAGCATTTCTTAAGCTGAAGGAACTAAAGAACAAATTCAAGCTGTGAGTTGCAATGATTAAGGATGCTATAGGCAGAATATTGAATGATTCAGGAAGCATTAAAAGAAGATGGAAGGAATACACAGAGCCATAATACCAAAAAGAATTGGCTGACACAGAAGAATTTCAAGAAACAACATATGATCAAGAGTGCTGAAAAGCAAAGATGTCAGTCTAGAGACTAAGGTGTGCCTGATCCAGGCGATGGTTTTTGCAATTACTTGCAGAATTACTGCAATTACTTGCATCAGAGAGTAGACAATGGCAAAGGATGGCAGAAGAAGAATAGATGCCTTTGAGTTGTTGTGCTGTAGAAGAGTCTTGAACATACCATGGAATACCAAGAAAATAAATAGGTCTGTCCTGGAGAGGACATATACTTTGTGTTCATAACTTTGTGCACATGGCCAGGAGAGACATGCCCTTGGAGAAGGACGTTATGCTAAGAAGGGTGGAGGGACAGCACAGGAGAGGAGGGACAGCACAGGAGAGGAAGACTCCAGATGAGATAGATTGATACAGTAACTGGGGTAGAGGGGGCTGGTGTGTTGGATTTAGTGAGACTGGCAGGGCAGGGCAGGGTTCAGAGTTGCTGTATACAAGGTCACTCACTATGGGTTTCAGGTGACTCGATGGCACAAAACAACAACAACAACATCATGATGTTGCTTATTAGTCCAATGGTGTTGGTTGTGCTGACGTTAAGATGCAATTAATATAGAAGTCTGTAGTCTTTGATCTTCTGCAGCAAGCTTTTCCAGTCCTCCTCACTTTCAATATCAGGGTTGTATCATCTGAATAACATAGATTATTGATCAGTCTAGCTCCAGTCCTGATGTCACGTTCTTCTTCAAAGAGTCAGCTTTTCAAATTATTTGGTCAGTGCACAGATTGAATAGGGATCATTGCTGGTCTAGTGGTAAGTAGCTGTGCTGCAACCTCAAACACATGCAGTTCAAATCCACCAGTTGCTCTGTGGGAGAAGGAAGGACAATCTCCGCCTGTGCAATTAACTGTCTGAAAACCTACTGAAGAGTCAGGTTCCAATAGGGTACATTACAACTGGGCAACATAAAACAATACAGACTAAACAGATATGGAGAAAGGATGCAACCAGGACACACCTTTTTTTCATTTTAAACCATGTAAAATTCCCTTGTTCTGTTCAGACAACAGTCTCTTGGTCTATGTATAGGCTTTGCATGAATGCAATTAAGAGTTTTGGGATTCTCATTCTTCTCAATGTTGGCCATAATTTATTATGATTAAATTTTTATGATCAAGAAGTCAAATATCTTTGCATAATCAAAAGTTTACTCACATGCAAAGTAAAACTATTAAAAGTGAAGCTGAAGAAAATGAAAACAAGTCCACGAGTACCAAAATATGACCAAAAGTATTTCAAATGAATTCAGAACTATTTTGAGAAAAGATCTAATTCATTGAACATTAAGAACTGAAGACCAGACAAATGGAGAGATGTCATCAAAGATGACATCAAAGATGACATCTATGACATTCTATGAAGAATGCAAAAGGTCATTGCAAAGAAAGCAAAGTCCAAAATAGAAATGAGAAAAGACTCTAACACTGAGAGATAAGCTGAAATAAAGGGGAAAAGGCTGAATGAAGTAAAAGAGAAGAACATAAGATTTTAAAGAGCTCAAAAAGACAAAGCAAAGTAGTACACCTAAATATTCAAAGGGATGAAGAAAGAAAAACCAAAAGGGAAAAACACACTCAGC